ATCCCCGTCTCGATTGGCGATTTTTCCGGCAAAGCCCTGAGCCGGAAAAAAGCAGCACCCATGTTTATGCAAATGAAGCGGGGGGGATTTAAATCCCCGCTTCATTTGCAATTGCGATGTGTCAAATTTGCATCCCTTTTATGGAAAGGGGATGCAATCTAGACACAGCCTATAAGTATCTGAAGACTGGATAGTTAAAAGGAAGCAGATAAGGATCAAAGGATAGCAATAGATAGGAAGGGTACTAAAGCAAGAATCTTGAGAAGGCCATCAGCGTGAGAATTGAACTTGTGGATTCTCTGTGTATTTGACCAGTAGAACTGGTTTGTGACAAGACAGCCACAAGAAATGAGTTTGTCCAGGAACCCAGTCAGGGTTTGTCCAGGAACCCAGTCCAGGAACACAGAGGGCAGAGAGCAACCACTAGGAAGGGTCAGGTTGGTCAGTCACCCCGTCAGGTGAGAGAAGTGTAGGAGAGTGTGTGTGTAACCCCCTTCCCATGTGACCCTTAAAGAGAAGAAAGTAACTACACAGAATCCAGCTGTACTACATTTCTTTTAATGGAGCCAATCAACGTGATGTTGTTTTGAAATTTTGCATTGCATAGTTCTGATGGATTACCATTGAACTTGCTAGAATACAAGTAAGTTTATTTGGTCCTGTATTCGACATAGGGAATTCTGGTCACCTAGTTTTGGAGCAAGGACTTGACATTTGAGAAGGGATTGCCAAGAAATCAGGGATGAGCTTTTTGCCATTTTGATGAAACTCTCCCCAAATATGACCAAGTAACATATCTCTGGGGAGAGGTGTGCCCTTTAGGGAATGGGAATAAAACACTTTGAGGGTACGTCTAAAATATGGGGGGTTTTTTTGAAAGAGGGTATGCAAATTCCTTCCGATGGCTTTTTTGAAAGTGGTTCTTTCAAAAATGAAAGTAGTCTGGACACGTTTTTTGCAGAAAAAAACAACCCTTTTTCAAAAACCTGCATAAACCTCCTTTTTTAAGGAAGAGCAGTTTTGTCGAAAAAGGGATTATTTTTCTGGAAAAAAAATGCATCAAGATTACTTTTACTTTCAAAAGATCCTCTTTTGAAAGTGAGATGGGAAAATTCTACGTAATCTAGACAAAGACTTAATGTAGAATCTCTATTAACATACTTCATTCTTCAGATTCTCATTATTAATTACTGTCCAAAAACTGTCTAGACTGAGCATGTCCCATCTATATGAATATGGATGTACATATGCTTAACTGAGCGCTGGGCGCAACACTAGAGACTGGAACTAAGAGCAAGGAGAAAGCCCTTCATGTATTCTCATTGCCTACCTCCCTCTCCTCATGCTCATGCCCAGGCAGCATAGAGAAGGAGGAAACAGTCTGAATTGGAAACAAAGGGGTTAGGAGTGAGGGGAAGGGAGAAATGGCATAGGCTGGGAGAAATAGGAACAGAGGGAGAAAGGAGCAAATTGCTAAAGTATGCTCCCCACATCCTGCTCCTGGAATTGAGCCAAGGATAATATTCCTGTGCTGCTTATCAAATAGCAGTAGCCCACTGGCAAAATGAGTCTCTCCTCACTTTAGCTGTAGGTTCCCAAAATAACCCACTACTGCAACCAGTTATTCCATTAACTCCAAGTGTTATGTTTGTGCTGCGGCTGTAAATCCACTGATGGCCCATGCGGACGTCTATATATTTCTACATAAGATGTGTTTTGGTTTGCTTTTTTTAATGGAATTTCACATAATTTCCTTTATTTTGAAGTGCTAACTGTGCAAAGCGAAGCACTCAGCAGTTAGGAAATGCACAATAATGCATGGTTTACAATGCAACCACAACCACATTCTAGCCCCGTTTATATTATGCGTGTATTATGATCACTTTAATTACATGATGACTTACTATTTTTCCTATGCATCCTCTACTGCAGTCACTGCACAGAATAAAATACAGGAATTGCTACCCTGGGCTCATTGGAGTTCAAACCAATGTCACCTTTATTAGTTATGTTCTTGGAGCTAAATCCTGCAACTGTTACTCAGGCAAAACTCCCAATGTAAGTTCTGAAAAATTTGCTCCAGAACTTAGGAAAACAACATTAAATCAGAACCAACTACAATATACAGCTGATTTAGGGGTGAGTGAAAAAAAATCTGTATTCATTGCTTGGTATTATTCCTCCTCCCAAGTATTAGGTTTGGTAAATCCTACAGAGGTTTTAAACAAAGCTAACCTTCAGAAGGACAATCCGGAGGTGACCAGAATTTTTAGCTGACAAGGACAAACTCTTACACTAAGAGTATGTTATTGATTTGTATGCAGCTACAGTGCAGAGATCAAGAGGAGTTCAAGACTATAAATTGTTGTTAAATTCCTTTCAGATTAACAAAACCTAATTACTATACTTCTATTGAGGTACACAAAACGCAAATCTGTTCTAGTATTTAATTTTAAAATTGATCCTTTCCCATTCTTCTAGTCCAAGCCTTTTGAGCAGGTTATACTTTTTGATATATAGTGTATGGAAAATTACATCATAGAATAAACTAAACAAACACATTGTAAATAAATAGAACGGAGCCACCAATCCTTTGGTTGCTGTTTTATTGTGAGTGTTTTAAAATGATAAGAGAGACCATGGATCAAGATGCTGCATTTTACTTAATCTGCAATAAGAATGATTTAATTAATCAGATTTATTTCCCAAACATCTGATCCAAAAAGAGATGCAATCATTTCTGATTCTCCTCTTAGACATATTTTCAGGATGATTCCAAGTTCTTTTTGCAGCCCTACAAAGTTTGACACTACATTTTGCTATTTTCATTGGCATTTGTATTTTATCCACCACTGCCATTATTAATGGTTTAAAACAACCAACCAACCAACCAGCCTAAGAAATATGCAGAAAATGAATGAATTTCATATGATTTGTAGTCTTAAACCTATTTCAAATAAATGCATCTGCTTGATACAAATAGGACATATATTTTTCATTTTAGGGTCTTTTTTTTCAAACCCGATTTGTCTTTTTCCTCATTGTTTCGGCAGACATTTCAAAAGATGTTTGATCAGACAGTCTCTCTGGTTGATATTCTGTGTTGGAGACTGACAACAGTCCACTGCGAGTAAGCATTTAAGGAATGATGTACTGATGTATTTGGAAACTGCTGTGTCAAGGAGAGAAATGAACAATAAATCAGAATAAAATGGAAACACGCTTGAAACTTGGCTTGAGGATTTTTGCATTTGTGAGGACAAAGGAAGTTTGACAATATAAATCATATTTGTAGTGTTGCCTGTAGCTAAT